TCTCTCTCTCTCTCTCTCTCTCTCTCTCTCTCTCTCTCTCTCTCTCTCTCTCTGTGTGTGTGTGTGTGTGTGTATGTATGTGTTAGTAAAATAAGAGAAATAGACTCTAATCAACCTAAAAATGAACTCGGAATAATTGATGAGTGAATGCAAATCCATTTTTGCAGCATTTCAGGTACTTAGTATCAGAGGCAGTCTACCAGATTCCTGAAATAAAGGGACTGATTAGGCAAGGCTTCTTCTAGATTTGAGGCTATTCCCCAGATTCTTTCTCTACAACTATTTCCATAGTTCGCCATCAAAGAAAAGCTCCCTTTCTTCCTCTTTTTTCAGCCGGATAGTTTCACATATTTTTGTACTCATGTTTATGAAAAAGAACATAAAACATCTGACGGAAGGGCCACGTGAAACTATAAATGATGAATAAACTTCTGTGGAAGAACGAAATTTGGTCCCCTGTAAAGGAATACAGATAAATCCTTGACCTACGAACATAAAGCCCAAGTCCAAAACCTGGGTTGCTAAGTGAAACATTTGTTAAGTGAATTTTGCCCCATTTAACAACTTTTCTTGCCACAGTTGTTAAGAGAATCACTGCAGTTATTAAGTTAAAAACATAGTTGCTAAATGAATCTGGCTTCCCCATTGACTTTGCTTGTCAGGAGATTGCAAAAGGTGATCACACAACTCTGGAACATGGCAACTGTTATAAATATGAGTCAGTTTGCCAGGCGGCTGAATTTTGATCATGTGACCATGAGGATGCTGCAATGTTTTAAATATGAAAAACAGTCATAAGTAACTTTTTTCAGTACCATTGTAACTTTGAATAGTCACTAAATGAACTCTTGTAAGTCGAGGATTACCTGCAGTTCTTTTTTGCCTAGAATCCCAAGTGCCCCTTGGAAAGTACCTATTTCCTGCTGAGCCATGTCCAAATGCTCATGGACCTACTCGTATGAGTTCTCATAAAGTTTTAAGGCAGGACTCCTAAGTTTTTAACAGTTGCATGACAGAATAGGAAACTAACTGTTCCATTTTTCATCTTGGTCTTCATCTATCTTTCATCTGAACTGGCATTTGCAGCTTCTGCAGGCAAAATAATTGTGACAAAAGAATACACACTGTGCTTTTCTCAGACTATAATTCTTCCCTTACCTTTGGTGCCAACTTTTGTGAATTCTGCAAAAAGAGAAGCCACTTCATGGTGCATCTGACATTTTGCAAGCATTGGGAGGGGGTGTTTTTGTACAGTAAAAGAACCAGACAGGTCTGCTGCCTTTTCCTTTGTTTGTTTACACCAGCATTTCCTCAAGCAGTTATGGTGAACCTTTTTGGCACCGAGTCCCCAAACCGGAATGCGTGTGTGCGTGCATGCGCATGCACGCCGGAGCACCAGAACACAAAGACTAGGGGACCAGCGTGCATGCGTGTGCTGGAAACCAGAAGAGCAACTGGCGATGGCGCATGGTTTGCATCACAGTCCTAAAGTGTGTTTTTAGGGATCTTGGGGATCCTCTCAGATGCTCTCAGGGGTCCTCAAAATCAATATTATTTCTGAGCCTATGTTGAAAAATAGCACAGTACTAAAACCAAAAAATTGTGAGAAGCAGTACTGGCAGCAAATATATCAATTTTACATTTTTAATATGATAAATAGTAAAATCATTGGAGAAAGTAGTGATGCTTGAAATGGTTAGTTGAACAAGAAGGGGAAAGGAAAGAACACACTGGCTTGGTAACTTCAAATCTGACAGAAAGTTGAAAACCAACAATTGAAAGAAGCTGTGTTTGATAGGGTAGTATGGAGAGGACTTGCCTATAAATTCACCAAGAATTGGACATGATTAAATGGTTAAAAAAAAAAAGAATAACATAAAAACAAAAGCTTCGTATTTTTTAAAAGTGGAAGGAGTCCTGAAGGGAAAAAAATTAAGAAATTCCAGTTGGCATATCTGTCCTGCACTGAATACTGATTTTTCAGGCTGGCGGGGGGGGGGGATTTTTTCACTCGCTTGCATCTTTTGTTCAAATAATACATTTCAAGGGTTCCTAACCAAAACACAAACATCTCCCAAAATGAAGCTATTTGTTTATTTGTTTTTGCCATGTGTTCAAGTTAGAATTAGAATTAGAATAACAGAGTTGGAAGGGACCTTGGAGATCTTTTAAGTCCAACCCCCTGCTCAGGCAGGAAACCCTATACCATTTCAGATAAATGGTTATCCAATCTCTTCTTAAAAACTTCCAGTGTTGGAGCATTCACAACTTCTGGAGACAGGTTGTTCCTCTGATTGATTGATTGTTCTGTCAGGAAATTTCTTCTTAGTTCTACATTGCGTCTCTCCTTGATTAGTTTTTTTCTTATTGCATTTGATAATAAAGTACTGTAATATTTTCCACTTTTCCAAACACACCTTTTACTGTGGATATGTGGATATTATATACCATGGGTGTCCAACCTTTTGGCTTGCCTGGACACACAGAGTGAAGAGGAATTGTCTTAGGCTGCATATAAAATATGTAGAATAATTAATGCATATAAATCACATAATGTTAGAAGTTTACAATCTCTTGGGGCAGCATTACTAGCTATCCAGAGCCAAATGTGACCCATGTGCCATGCATTAGATACGCCTGGCATAGACCTCTTGGGTACCAAATGGACCTGCTGCTACTGGCCACATAATCAGAATCAGGTTCCTTGTTGCTCGCTGGAATTTCCTCACAGCCCTTTCTGTCATTTGACCCACAATAAATATCGAGAGCATGGAGAGAACAATTATCTGGCCTTGTTACTATGGTAGAATAGAGATCAGCAATGGGGGCAGCACAACTTATGCCAATGTACTTTTTGGCCTTCTCAAGTGCTAACGGATTGGATTTTTAATCTGATCATCAGGATGACTCTAGGGAAAAATATTGGGGGTATAAATAAAATTGGATCTGAATCAGCCTCATAGTACATTGTTGGAAGAAATGGCCTTCTGGGTTCAGTTCCAAATGGGGAAAAAGACACTGGAAACATGGAAACTGCTTGGAAAGATGGTTTTATTGGTAGACAGGACCACATGGTTTGAGGTCCTGTGGAAAAGGGGAATCACATGCCTCAAAAATATTGAAGAAAAAAGGGCTGGCTTGCTGAAAGTCCCTGGGTTTCATGCCCTCTGTTGGGCCCTGCCCTGGGGCCTCTGCTCCTGTGCAAGAAATGCACTCTGATTGGCTCTCAGGCTCCCATGGGGCCATGCAGGGGCACCTCTGTAGGCTGTTCTTTGAGTCCAAGTTTGGTTGAGCCTTGCTGGTGGTGATGTATTGAAAGGGCGTTGGGATTCTTATTATGGCTCTGCCTGTAGATCTTTGTTACGTAGAATAGATTGGCTCAGGCCTTAATGGCCCATTGGCAAAGGTGGAGGCTATTAAGAGTGAGTCTGTAACATGTTTCTCTGGCCCAGGCCTTATGGGCCATTGACAAAGTGGGGGGTGAGTTTCTTCCTTTTAGGGGGAAATATTCTGTCCTTTAATATTTCCTAAAATATTTCATTTTCTAGGAGAGAGGTGGGTTAACACTTCCTACAACATATAACAGTGAAACTCAGTTCAGCGTTACTTCTCGCACGTGCTGAAGATTGATTCTTCTTGGTTAGCCTTCACAAGGTTAATCTTTAAGACCAGCATTTTGGTGAGAAGTATCAAAGAAATGGCTCTGTAGCTGGTGGATATCTCCCATCTTTCTTTCTCTCCTCCCAAGGCTATGGGAAGAAAATAGAGAAAGCAGATTTTAAGGATGCATGGTTTCCTCCCACTTCTTCTCCATCTGCTGCAGTCATTGTCTTCCAAAGATGCTTCCTCTGTTGCATCCAAGGTTTGGCTCCAGGAGCAAATCCTGCTACTGTGTGACACCAGCACCTCTATATTAGGGGCAAGGCCACCTTTAGTCCAGGGGCACTAGTTGCAGATCCCTCTTCCCATCCTCCAAATTCGATTGCAGAAAATACCACATTTGGCAACAGAGTGGTCAATGCCTGGAATGCACTACCTGACTCTGTGATTTCTTCCCCAACCCCACAAAACTTTAATCTTAGACTGTCTATAGTGGACCTTACCCATTCCTAAAAGGTCTGTAAGGAGGAGTGCATAAGCGCACCAACATGCCTACCGTCCCTGTCCTACTGTCCCCACTTACTCATATCTTTCCTGTATTCATAATCATGTTTATACTTATACCTGTTATCTTATACATGCTTGACAAAATAAATAAAATAAAAATGCATCCTGTCCGCTGGTCGCTCTAGACTAGAGAGAGTGTATCGCGGGACGTCACGCGCTGCTCTGGCCCAGCGCCTTGTTTGCAGACCGAGCGTCCTTCAGCCTGTTTGTTATTGCAACAAACGCTGGACGTCCACGGGGCGCGCTGCCGCTGGAGTTTACCTTCTTGGCAATCGGCCTGCCTTCTGCCCCCCCGCGTTCCCCACCTAGGCAACCCTGATCAATCCCCCCCTCCCCGTCTGCTGCAATGATTGATCACTTCTCGAAAGGCTGCCCTATGTTGGCAAGCGCAGTTTCTGTGCTAGGTGGACTTTAGCTTTCCCTGCTTTGCATCGCAACCCTAGCGTGACACAGCTCGGTGATGAGCAGCCGGGGACAATTATGGGACGGGGGAGTGGCTGGAGCGAGCGAGCGTGGTCCGTCCCGGTGGGTGCATGAGCGGAGCACTTTTCCAAAGCTCCTGTGCCTGGAGAGCTCCGCTGCATATGAGCCCGGGATCCGCCGCTTGCGCTCCCTTGCTCCGCCCCCCACCCGCCTTCCCTATCTAGGGGCTCCTACAGCTGAAGGAGCAGAGTCGCGTCGAGCGCCGCTCTGCCTTCCTCCGCGCTTCGGAGGGGAAGCTTTCCGTCGCAACAGCTGCAAGGGATTCACTTGGACCAGAGGGCAGGAAGAGGTGCGCGGCCCCGATTTGGAGCCAGAAGGCAGAGAGAGAGAGAGAGAGAGTGAAGCACAGACTCGGACCTTGTAAGTGATCTTGCGGGAGAGTCGGTGGTGCAACCAGGATCGGTGGCGGGTAGAGGGCTCGAAGTATTACGAATTACAGGTGGGAAAACTTCCCGATCGAGGAAAGGCAGAAGCGAGACTGGCCCGGATCGACAACCAAGCAGGGGTGGTTATAAAATGCTAGTTTTCTCTCCTGGCACATTGCTTACGCTCCTTTAATTTTTATTTTTATTTTAGGCTGCAGTCGTGGGCGCGCTCATTTGGAAATTATCCCCTTGCCTTTTAATGGATTTTTCTTTCCCGAGCAAGCAGAGCGAACGGGAGCAAGATGTGTAATCTGTTGCATGCTTTACTTCGATAAGAGCTTCATCCACCGATGGGATGGACGCCCGAGTTGGGTTGCATGCCCTCCCCGTTCATCTGGGTTAGAGTCAAAGTGCGTTAAAAGAACCTTCTTCCGTAGCAACGTATCTGTAGTGAGTCTAATCCTCGTTGCATTTATTCCGGCCGATAGGGAAAAAAACCCCGCTAATCGTACACGATGTTTTACTGTGGCCACTGCTCCTAAAGAAAAGTGGATGTTTCATGTTGGGCAGTTTTCTTCGGTATGTGCCTTCAGTTGTGTAGGTGATTGCAAATCTGAAAATTCACATTGACTGTGTTGACTGGCAATTGGATAGACGCGTGAATTCTGTGAAGAGAGAGGCTCTGTGCAGTGTAATATTACCCCCCCCCCCACACTTTGACTTTCTCATCTGTAGAGAACTCATTCCCAGTTCTTCCCCAGGCAATTCCCTAACTGCTGAGTATGAGGACTGCCCAGCCAGGATTCCCAGTTTTACTTTAAACTGGGTCCCTGTGAAATGCATTCATCCACTGCTCTCCCCTGTAACATGAAGACCAATAATCAAAATGATGGTGCTGAGATAACTATGTGAATGCTGCTCTCCCAATCTAGAGATCATTGCAATCTGATCTTTTTTTCCAAAAACCCAACAGGGTAGCAATTTTTTTCTAATGTAAAAGGAAGAGAAAGGCACCCACATTAATCAGGAATGCAATTTCTTTGATTTTCATTAGATTGACCCCAGCTATCCATGTGTTTTACCTTAGTATGTTAAACAAACCCAGCCATTTATGGGTTATTTAGTAAATCGTGATTAAATAATCTGTGATTGAGCTAAGTCAGTGTGACACTGAAAGACGACTCCTAGCTATTCCTGGTGTCCTTGATTGTCTCTTGCCTCTCTGATGTTTTGAGTGGCTCAGCCATAGCCAGGTACAACAGAAGACTGACATGACCTAGTTCGAGTTTTACTCCTGAAGAGAATGAAAAGATGGAGAGGGTAAGACAAGAGGAAAAGGGAAAGATCTTGTGTAATAGTCTGAACTTTTTGATAAAAGATGGGAATGTAAATGTAATTAAACTCAGATATTAATTTTAACCATCCAATACATTTTATTTATGTCCTTCAACACCTATGCCTACCCCTGTTGCTTGGATCCGGTGCTGCCCGTTGATTCTGTGAAGGAAGGAAGCAGGAGAAGCTGGCAACATAGCTTCTCCTTTTACCATCCTAAGAGCCATCCTAAGTGGCTTCCCTGCACCAACATGTTCTTTTCCTCTTTTCAAGTCTGATTTGATTAGGAGCTGCGAGACAATATCCAGCAACCCGTCTTTTGCCAGGGGTAGAATGGCTGCTATCTGTTTTAAGACATCCAGTATAAATCAGCAGCTCCCAGTCAAGAATGACATAGAGCCAATAGAGGGAATATGGAAACACTTGGGTGGAAAATGAAATGCTGTCTTAGGAGGGCTTGTGTCAGCTAACGCCATGCCAAGAAAGTATTGAAGTTGGGTTAAGTCTTGTTTTGACAAAGGGGCTGCACATATATTTGGAGAAATTAAATCACTTTGATTCCCTCTTGGCACATTGATTCTGTCCACAGACCCACACTGCGTACATTTTATCATTTGGAATGGATTTTTCTGAGACAAGGGAGAGATGCCAGTTGTATGTGATAATGGGCCACTGCAGGCAATAACTGAAAGGAGAGATAGATCCAGATTCCCGTGTTTTATGGTGTAAAAGAACAGCTTCAGTTAACATGTTGATCCACAAAGTTAAGATTACAATCTTGGTTTAAAAAAAAAAAGCTTAGTGCCATGCTGAATTAGGTCTTAAAAACAAAAGGTTGCTTTTTTTTCTTAAAAGAAAGTACTGAATGATGGATGGAACTTCCTTGCATCCAAGTAGACTCTGAATTGGATTTATTTGTAAATCCAAAATTTGTAAATAAAAAAGTAATAGAGAAACAGGGCAAACTGATCCTTGAAATGCATGTGTGAAATATTACTACAATCCAAAAGGATAAAATATAAAAGCTTATTACAATAAAAAAATTAAGTTGATCCAGCATTTATCTCAGTAATTTGTAAATACAGATGAATGATTGGTCACTTCTTGAGGCATCAAGTTAGTATTCCTTAGCGTATCAGTAACACAAGTCTTTTTGGAGTGAGAGGTTTTTAAAAATTACCTTCTTGGAAAGAAAGGAGCAGTGTGAGTGTGTGACAAGAAAAGAGTTTGCTCATGAGTTGTAGGACTCGGAGGATACAGTCAGCCTTTCACCACTCAAAATTTTGATTTCATAATTGAAAGTAATCAGGACTTCAGAAATATTTTAAGTTACTAGGATGCTGTACCAACAGACCTATTTACATATATCGGGACCTGCAGCATGTGCAGAATACTGACAGCCAATCAGAACGTGTTTTTCTTGACAAAAAGATAAGCACAGATACGTATACCTCAGTCTGTCAGTGACCAGTTCCTCAGTAAATAAATGAACAATTGTAAGTTGTATATTTATCTCCTGATTTGAAGGTTCTGCATTTTGTCTCCAATGGCCAGAAACATAATCACCTCTGCAGAACCACTTGGAAATTGCCCATTTGCCTCCTCCCCGCCCCCTGCTCCCCCATGCGTTCCATTGGAACAAAATGGGTAACTCTTGTTTCACAACACTGATGACGTTACCTAGTTTGGGCAATGAAACGTCTACAAGAAAACAAGCAAGCTCAGAGAGGTTTCAGAACCCCTCGTTTCAACCCTGAGCTTCAAATAATTCTCCTTTATTTGCACAAAATAGCAATAGCACTTATATACTGCTTCATAGTGCTTCTTACAGCCTTCTCTAAGCGGTTTTACAGAGTCAGCATATTTTCCCCAACAATCTGGGTCCTCATTTTACCCACCTTGGAAGGATGGAAGGCTGAGTCAACCTTGAGCCCAGTGAGAATTGAACTGCCAAATTGCAACTAGCAGTCAGCTGAAGTAGCCTGCAGTACCACTGTGGCACCTCGGCTTTTATAGGTAGACTACAGCAGAATAAAGTCAGGAATTAATACAGGTAGTCCATGTCTTACAGTCACAATTGTAACTTTGTTAAGTGAGTTGTAACTTTAGTTGTTAAGCGAGTTGCACTGGAGTTTACTTTTCCTGCCAGTTAAGCGAATCATTGCAGTTGTAAGGTGAAACATGTGGTCATTAAACAAATGCAACGTCCCCCGTTGACCTTGCTTGTTGCAAACCAGCTGGGAAGGTTGCAAATGGTGATCACATGACCCCAGGATGCTGCAACCGTCATAAATACATGCCCGTTGTCAAGCCCCCAGATTTTGGTTACGTTGAACCATGGGAATGCTGCGATGATCGTACATGTGTGGCTTAGTCATAAATCACTTTCTTTCAGTGGTGCTGTAACTTAATCGACTGTTAAATGAATGCTTCTAAATCAAGAACTACTTGTAATGGGGAGAGATCAGAGTTGGAGATTCAGTTGGCTTTGTGAGCAGATTTTCAGCCAGAGGTCATAATGCCCCAAATCTGAGGTACACATTTTCCTGGAAGCAGCACTCTTCTGTATAGGAAGGTCGGATCAGACTGTGGCTAGTATTGCAGGCTAATTCTGCCAACTGCCAGCAGTTCAATCCTGACTGGCTCAAGGTTGACTCTGCCTTTCATCCTTCCGAGGTTAGTAAAATGAGGATCCAGATAGTTGAGGGAATATTCTGATTGCTTAGAGAGGGCTGTGAAGAGTATGTAAGTCTAAGTGCTATTTCTATTGTTTATCTCCATACCATAATCTCAAAAGGATTTGAAAGTGGCCCTTCCATTTTACAGGTAAATTATTTTGAAAAACAAAATACAATAAAGAATCTCTTCAAGTTAATGCAGTAATGTTTTCCTTGCAAAATAAAAACAAAACTATATAGCCTACATTGACAATGAAATTGTATCATTATTTAACAACAATAAATCTCATTAATTGAGTGAAATATATTCCAGTAGAAGTAAACATGAAATTTCATCTTTAGAGATATCTAATATTCACTCCTTATTATTTGCGTACACATTGTGGAGGGTGAAATTCAATTTTTTTTACTACTGGTTCTGTGCGTGGCTTGGTGGGCATGGTAGGGGAAGAATACTTCAAAATTCCCATTCCCTCCCCACTCTTGAGGGAAGGATATTGCAAAATCTTCATTCTCACCGCACTCTGGGGCCAACCGAACTACTCAAAATTTCCACTACCAGTTCTCCAGGATCTGTCAGAACCTGCTGAATTTACCCCTCGTGGACGGGAGATTTCTTGTAAATAAAAAGTAGAGTATTTGTTTTGAAAAAGTTAAGTAGAAAACTTTTCTGATTTTCACACCTTTTGAAAGTACAAGAGAAGAGGCTGATAGCTTTTGGATAGTGTGTCTGTTTCGGCGATTACAGGTTTCACAGAGCGAAGCAAAGATATTGCTGGAGGGGCAGGATAGAGTTTCCTACCACTTGCTTAACACACCTGTTTGTTTGCTTGCTTGTTTGTCTGTTTTCCTGCTGAAACTCAGGAAGAAATCAGTGGTGATTTCTGGCATGTTCTTGAAGAGGAGACTCTGCAGTTAGGAAAAAAAATATATTAGGAGTTACCTGTAGTTTGCAAGTCTATCTTGGAGTGCTGATTTCTATCCTGAAAAGTAGGTCATGAAAAAAAGATATATTAGAGACTGTTAATATTTTAGCTGATTCTTCCAAAGTAATCTCTTACAATTTTCAGCTGCAACACAATATTAACTCTTTTATAGTAAATATAGTATTGGAACCTCAAACCCTAGTTTGGTTTGTAGTCCAGAGCTAAATGTTGTCTCTTGGGAAGATACAGGTGAATTACTCTCTTCTTAGGAGATACCTTTCTCCATATCTTCCACATCTGTGCAAAAGGATACATTTTACTTCAGCCTTGTTTCTCCATGAAAAAAACCCCAGAGGTTGTGTTGATGGATGAGAAGTAATGGACTTGGTTCCTATTTACTGGGATGACATTGTTTCACATTGCCAGGTAAACAGCTGCTGCAGAGTAGGGGCTGGTTATTTCTAAAAAAACTATGCAGTCCAATCTCACCTCTATGGAGGTGCAATCATATATAATACACCCACTTGGAACCTGGTTTATATAAACTGCAATTAGCTTTACATCTGGCATTTTTCCTTATCACCAGATCTATAATTTGGAACTAATCTGGTGCTTTGCCTAATGAAGGAGAAGTGAGTTGAGAAAATCTGTGTCAGAATAAACTTTATTGAACAAGCTTAGCTCTCAGCCTAACCTATTTTATAGGGTTATCACGGGGGAAAAATGAAACTCATGTAGAACACATGAAGCTCCTGTTTACAGGTAGTCCTCGACTTATGGCCACAATTGAGCCCCAAAATTTCTGTTGCTAAGCAAGACAGTTAAATGAGTTTTGCCCCATTTTATGACCTTCCTTGCCACAACCGTTGAGTGAATCATTGCAGATGTTAAGTTAGTATCACAGTTGTTAAGTGAATCTAGCTTCCTCATTGACCTTGCTTGTCAGAAGGTCGCAAAAAATGATCCTGTAACCCTGGGACACCACAGTTATCATAAATACATGGCAGTTTCCAAGTGTCCAAATTTTGATGGAATGACTGTGGGAATGCTGCAATGGTTGTAAGTGTGAAAAATGTTCATGTCACTTTTTTCAGTGCTGTTGTAACTTCAGTAGTCACTAAATGAATGGTTGTAAGCCAAAGACTACCTGTATGCATTTTAAAAATGATTGTCAACAACAGTAACAACAATGGCAACCCACTAGAATAATGTTTTGAGCATCCAAGCAGTAATGGGTTCAGTCAAATCTATTATTAGTAGCATTCTATAGGGAATAGGAAGCAATTCTCCAAGCCAGGGGTATCAAACTGGCGTCGTCGTGTGACATATTGCAACTTTCCCCCCCTTCCCTAAACAGGGCATGGCTTTAAGTCAGTGTTTCTCAACCTTGGTAACTTGAAGATGTCTGGACTTCAATTCCCAGAATTCCCCAGCCAGCATTCACCTGCTGGGGAATTCTGGGAGTTGAAGTCCAGACATCTTCAAGTTGCCAAGGTTGAGAAACACTGCTCTAAGTCAATGTTTCTCAACCTCAGCTATTTTGATTTGTAGACTTCAATCCCAGAATTCCTCAGCCAGCATGCAGCTGAAGAATTCTGGGAGTTGAAGTCTACACATCTTAAAATGGCTGAGGTTGTGAAAACACTGCTCTAAGCTTTCACATCTCCTGAAAAGTTCTTAAGAGAGGCTGAAGGACCTTTTGAAGGTGCATGAATAATCTGAGGATATACACAATGATTATCTCCCATCTCCTTTTTCCAGTGGAAAATTCTTTCTCATCCAAATTAGCTTAGCTGTGGTCAATGATGGGGTTGTTAAAGATTGTGGCCTCAGATTGTGCTTTCTTGATGAATTGCCGGACCAGATTAATGGGAGAATTATACTCAGTGGCCTATGCTGAGATTTCTCTGTTACAGATAATATCCACTAAATCAGGGCTGTCAAACTTGTGGCCCGCGGGCCGGATGTGTCACGCCATGCCCATGCCCGGTTTAGCAAAGGTGGGAAAAGTCCCGATACATCACGTGACGCTGCTGTGATGATGTGAATTTGACAGCCCTGCACTAAATGAAATATAATTCATATGAGAGGTCAAATGAAGAATAACATTCTTTTACTCTTGGAAGTTTTGGTTTCTCCCCAAGTTGATGTATATAGGAAGAGGTGGGTTATTAGCGCTCAATCCACTGTGACAGTTCTTTTCAAAGAAAAAGCCGGGGCATCATCAAAAAGATAATGAAAGTAAGAACTTTCCTTGATTTTTGGCTATAGGGAGTTGTTAAATAACCATTCTGAACCCGATCTTTATTTTTCATTTATTTTGTGCTTAGATTCCACTTTATCTTAAACCACCCTGAATCAATCAAGATGGCGTCTTCTTTTGCTTGAAGGAGATTTCTTGCCAGGCAGACAGTGACAGCGGTTGCACCATGGACCAGGATAACAAGTTTCCCAACACCACAGTCTTCTGGTTCCCCTCAACCTCTCAGTTGGACAGTTTCTCCCCAGAGACTCCAGCTACTAATGTTTCCATCAACAACACAAGCCACCATTATGACTTGACTAGCAATGCCATCCTCACCTTTATCTACTTTGTGGTGTGCATTGTGGGCCTCTGTGGAAATACTCTAGTCATCTATGTCATCCTTCGCTATGCCAAGATGAAGACAATCACCAATATCTACATCCTTAATTTGGCTATAGCTGATGAACTGTTTATGTTGGGCTTGCCTTTCCTGGCTATGCAGGTGGCTCTGGTTCACTGGCCCTTTGGGAAAGTCATCTGCCGGATCGTCATGACAGTGGATGGAATCAATCAATTCACTAGCATCTTTTGCCTAACAGTCATGAGTGTGGATAGGTATCTTGCTGTAGTACACCCCATAAAATCTGCTAAATGGAGGCGCCCAAGAACAGCAAAAATGGTCAATGTAGCTGTCTGGGGCATCTCTCTTCTGGTCATATTACCCATCATGATATATGCTGGAGTGATCAATAATCATGGAAACAGTAGTTGTACCATGATCTGGCCAGATGATTCTGGTGTTTGGTATGCTGCCTTCATCATTTATGCCTTTATTCTTGGCTTCCTGATACCCCTAACCATCATTTGCCTTTGTTATCTTTTCATCATCATCAAGGTGAAATCATCTGGTATTAGGGTAGGTTCCTCCAAGAGGAAAAAGTCAGAGAAAAAGGTCACCAGGATGGTCTCCATTGTTGTTGCTGTTTTCATCTTTTGCTGGCTGCCCTTCTACATCTTTAATGTCTCATCGGTCTCTGTGTTTATTGTCCCAACACCTATCCTCAAGGGCATGTTTGATTTTGTGGTAGTCCTCACATATGCAAATAGCTGTGCCAATCCTATCCTTTATGCCTTTCTATCTGACAACTTCAAGAAGAGCTTCCAGAATGTCCTCTGCCTGATGAAAGTTGGTGGCATAGATGAAACTGATAGGAGTGACAGCAAGCAGGACAAGGCCAGGCTCAATGAAGCTACAGAAACCCAGAGAACATTGCTCAATGGAGACCTTCAGACAAGTATCTGAGAAACTCCAGCCGTGGTCAATACAATCTCCATACTTCTTCATGGAAGGCAGCAGTCCACACTGAATGACAGCAAAAGCTACTGACTGTTCTCTTAAGAGAGTGGCAAATGTATGTGACGAAAAGGGCACAGATGTACATCACAGCTCCAGGCTAGCTGGTTATGAAGATACTAATCAAAAGAAGAAGCATATTTTGGGGTGATAGACTAGACACACACATTGGTGTGTGCACAATAGTACATGCATGTATAAAGGCATGATGTGATCAAGCATAGTAAGAATGTTTATACTAGATCCATCAAAGAATGTCTATATTGGAATCCATCATATTGCACTGTCTTTAAAAAAACACCTTTACTGGTAAGATTTTTTCTAGTATTGAATTATTTCATTTCCAGGATTTGAATTATAATTTTAAAATGATTGGACAAGCATTAAATAAACAAGTTCCAATTCTGAACAAGTTGTATGAAGCTGGGATCATTGACACCCTCTTCCCATTCTAAAAGTAGATGCTTTGAAAGTTTCTGCCCTTTTTTAGTTAACCAAACATTACATTTGTGTGTTCAAATAAAAAAATAGTAGTCATGATACTATTTGCAGGTTGGAAGGAGATAATGGGAAAATTAAAGCTGCATAAATATATTATTTAAAAAGTAGCTAATAAAATGTGATCTTCAAAAAATGAGGATTGTATAGCTCGTTGGGCAATAGAGAGATGTCTGCAGCTATAATCAGATTGTTTTCCTATGAATTCAAAGAAATAATTTATTTTGCCATATTGCTATCCCTTGGTTTCCTTCTTAATGGTTTTCTCTCAGAAAGCAGGGCAATTGGATCTCACCTGCAAATATCAGGAGGCCACTAGATGGCAAGAGAGAGAAATTAAAACTTCTTACTCTTTACTGCCATCTAGCCATCTTCATTATTTTTTCAGCACTATTTTTGGTAGCACTACAAAAAGTTCTTTTGTGAATAGAGCTGATATTACCAAAGTATGAAATCAGATTTTTCGTGTTCTATAAATGGATCCAAAATCCACACTTGAATAATAGTATTATTAGGACCACCCACCTCTTGTGAAGCAAGCTTTTAAGGTGTGTAGCATACTCAGGCTTACTCCCAACTTTGACATTTTTAGATAAAATCTTAATATTTTTATGTAGGTCTTTGTTCCTGATGCTATTTTAACTGAACCCAGACAACTACCCACCAGTGGTGGGTTACGACTGGTACGCCCCAGTACGGGCGTACCTGTGCCTGCCAAGAGCACCGGGTACCATTCCGGTATGGGGCTCCGGAGGGCCCACCCGCATTCCTTACTGGCATTTGAGCTCTTCGTGGCTTCTGCGCAGGCACAAGGAACGTATGGCACTTGCGCAATGCTCCAGCTGCTTATGGAGGCATCACAGAATGTCGCAGGCGGTAAGTGCACATGTTCATGTGGTGGACGCCGGGCCCCGTTGCACCATACTGGTTGCAACGGGATCGGGAAACCACTGCTATCCACATATGTGTCAGGTAAGGAATAGACATTGTCCTCAGTGTGATTCAAATCTTTATCCTGGGTAAAAACAACCCCCTAGTGGCTTGTGTATTTATGGTTTGTGGGAGAGAATTTACTCCACCTTGAACTCAAGATTAATAATACTTCTTTAATAACCATATCTATTATCTATTTCCTATCCATTCTGCTAAGATCATAAAAGATCATAAACTGCTGATCATTTGATATCTAGATAACGGGTAACATTCATACATGAAACAGCCCTGATAAAATGATGGTGGCAAATGTCTACTATCTTACCTGTTGCTATCTTTTCTTTTATATCTTCTTAAGTATCATGGCTAAAAAACAAAAATGTGGCTAAATTATTAAAAAAGGAACCAAGGTGTAACATTGACCCACGTGGAAAAGGAATCTATGGGCACTTCCCTATATTAGTAGGAAGGAACCTGTGGCTGTCTAGATTAGTGCTTTTTCAACCTTGGCAACTTTAAGACATGTGGACTTCAACTTCCAGAATTCCCATGCTGGCTGAAGAGTGCTGGGAGTTGAAGTCCACACATCTTAAAAATTGCCATGGTTGACAAACACCGATCTAGCAATTCCGGCCATCCCTTACTCTTGGCCATCTTGCCTGAGGCTCCTGGGAGTTGTAGCTTGGCAATATTGAACAAAGGACCTATTCTGTACCTACAAGTCCTGGATACTGAACTTGCCTTAGGTCAGTTGGTGAATCTTTTCGGCACTGAATGCCGAAATGGGACCGCGCGCACATGTGGGGGAGCGGCAAAAACTGGAAGACCAGGTGATGCACGCTGGAAACATGCTCAGCTTCCCTGCGCGCCAGGGAGCTGCTTTTTCAGTTTCTAGCTGTCCCGCCCTTGAAGACCAGCTGGCTAGCGTGGATGTGCACACTGGAACCCAAAAGAGCAACAGACGACAGCTGGCGTGCCCAGAGAGATGGCTCTGTGTGCCACTTAGGTTCGCCATAACTGCTTTAGGAGTTCAGTATGGAAGATATCCTCCAATTCCAAAGTTTCCAGTTCAGAATCTGATACTTGGGGCAGGACCTTCAACAGTTACCGCCAAGGCAAAGGATTATGCCGGTATTTGCCGGTTCTCCAAACTACTCAAAATTTCCACTACCAGTTCTTGCTGGTCAGAACTTGCTGAATTTCAACCCTGGACTCCACCATCTTGACATACGAAGGAATCAGAATCTCCTCCAGTATAGCTTTTGACAGGCTTTAATGAGGTGCAAGAGAGTCAGACCGACTGCCCCATGTTTACGCTCAGCTCTTGCACGCACACTCACAAAAGTCTGCCAGTTCCTTTGCGGGTGTCTTTCCCTCTGGCACCTCCTCTCTTCCCTCCATGTGCCCAAATGTCATCAGGGGTTTGCTTTTGACTGGGAGAAATGGGCTGGTGCACTAAGTGCTCTTTTCTGTGGTGCAATAATTACTCGAGGGTTTTGCATGCCAGAAATGAAAGCCTTCACTTTATCGGCCATCTTCCTCAGCTGGAAGCAGCTGTTTAGAGGGTGCAAAAGCCCACTGTTAAAACAAGGCAGCTGGGTAGATGAGTGGTAAAATGAGAGTGCCGGCTCTTAAAACCCCAGGTTTCTGGGGTTCCCCTGCTACTGTGATAGCTGCTTGTTGGGCTGTCTGAACCATTTATTACAGTAGAGGCCTCCAATTCTATTGCCTCCTTCAGTGGCCAGTAAGTACCAGGTTGTTCTCATCTATCCCATATCCTCCAAATATATTGCCGATAGAATATTTGGCAAAGCAACTAGCTTTTGTATACCTTGAAAGTACTATAGGTGGCCATTGGCTTTGAGGAAAACCTACCTTAAAATTGGAGTAACTGAGGACAATTTAATCCTGTCTCATTGAAGGATGGGATGAAGGTATCATTATTAGAAAAATGGGTGTTTAGACCTTAGATAGGATCAATCTAACTAGATAGGATCAATCTAACTATAAATCAGATCCTATTTATTAATTGTTCAGGACAGGAGAAGGCGCAGCATACAGTATGGTACAACTTTTCTGGCAACCAGTAAGGAGCAGGACTTTAATCTGCTAAGATTCCTGTTCTCCTGATTGCTACACACTTATCTTTAGAGTACTGTTATGTCAGGGCAAAGGAACAGGCCCATATGCTAAGTTGCAGCACAGAAGATTTATTCAAGCCTATACACAAGAACCTAGTCACTAAAAATCAGCACTAAATTGATGCTAGAAAAGGGTCAAAGGGATTCAAGGAGGGCTGACATGGGTCATTTGTGGCAATGTAGGGACTCTAAGCTGATGACATACTTAATTCCACCCAAGGTTTGCCTATTCCTTTCCTATATCGTATCTTTTTTTCCCCTCCACCAGATAGGTTTCTGCCCCAAAGTCCTGTATTTCTGCATGATTTATAGATTTTGAGGACTTGTAGGATTTGGAAGTCTGCATTAAGCAAGATATTTTAATTTAAGTCTTTGCATTTCTGAGTTTGTTTAATGAAGTTTTATCATAAACTATAACATTACCCCTTATCAAGGAAGCCATAGCTTGAGTAAGTTTATCTTTCAGTTATTGTCCCCAGGAGAACAGTTGATTGATAAAACAAGGTGCATGTTGATCATTAAAGTCTTGATATCCTTAAAGATAATTACATTTTATGATCCTAGGCATTTTAACATGGCTTTTACTTGCTGGAGTACATTATTACTTGCCCCTCAATCACAACTCGCCCTCATGGCACTTATTTTAATGGCAATTTTGAGCACAGAAAACGATTGAATGCGATCTCACCAGGACTTGAAAATTCAGTCGTTGCTACAATTTCATTTATCCCAAATTTGGGGTTCGATTTGTATTTATCATACAGGACATAGTAGACCATCAGATGCAGGCTGCAGAACTTAATAATAGCCACTAGGTGATATCAAAGAATACATCTCTCTCCCTCCCTCCCTCCCTTTCTCTCTTTGCTGTCCCCTACTGGCCTTCTGGATTTTGCAGCGCACTGCTGCTAGCCTATTACCAAGTAGTATATTTACCAAGGATTTTAAGTTATTTATGAGCAGAAACAGGCTTTATAATCCCTATACCAGTGATGACTAACCTTTTTGTCCTCGTGTGTCGAAAGCGTGTGCGTGCGCATGACATCGCACGTACATATGTCCACACCCATAATATAATGCACATATGCCCCCCGCACCTCCCACTGTGCAGGTGCGTGCGACCCATCCGTGCCCCATTTTGGGCCTAGCAAGCCTCCCTGAAGCCTCCTGGGACCAAAAAAGGGGTGCAGTGCCCCCTGCCACGCTCCCCCCTGTACATGCCTGCATGCTGTTAACAGGAGTTATGTTGGCCTAGTATGCAGTTTTATTCCTCTCTAGCATTCATCTCCATTGTTTAGTGGTGCATTTCATGCCTCTCTAGGATTTGCCTCTATCTGCTCCAGTTAGGCACTCCCTGTTCCTGTTGGATGTATATCGGTGGCTTGTATAGTGTTTTGCAGAGACCCAAAAATAAGCTGGCCGGTGGCCATGCTTGGTGGAGCTCAGCTGAGGCTCGCGTGCCGGCAGAGAGGCCTCTGTGTGCCACCTATGGCACGCATGCCATAGGTTCGCTATCACAGTCCTATACAGATAATAATCCTTGGCTTATGACCAGAACAGAAACCAGAATTTCCATTCCTAAGCAAAGTTAAGTGAATTGCACCTGATTTCACAATCTTTTTTGCCATGTTAAGAAAATCACTGCAGTTGTTAAGTGAACTTTGTGGTGATTAAGCAACTCCAGCTCCCCTCATTGACTTTGCTTGTGGGAAACTGGTTGGGAAGGACACGAATGGCAATCATGCGACCTTAGGATGTTGCAAACATCATAAATGCATCCCGGTTGTTAAGCCCCCAAATTCTAATCACAATTGGGAATGCTGCAAGGGTTGTATGTGGGAGGCCCATCATAGGTTACTTTTTATCAATGCCAACTTTGAACAGTCACTAAACAAATTTTTGTAAGTTGAGGACTACCTGTAAAGGAGAGGTAGACAACTAATCGGCAGTAAAGGTTTGTGCTATATTTTTTTTTAACTCACCAACAAAAGCTATAACTGAATTGAGCAGGGTTGTAACCCAGTAACATTCCTGCAAATAAGAGCCGATAAGATTTTAATGTTCTTTTGGATCTGTGGACTTGGGAAGCTACATATAGTAGTTTTACTTCTTTATATGAACTAAACATATCCAAAGGCTTATGCTAGTATTTTATTTCATGAGTCATGGTGGTGCACTGGTTAGAATAATAGTATTGCAGGCAAAACTCTGCCCATCGCCAGCAGTTTGATCCTAACCTCCTCAACGTTGACTCAAACTTCCATCCTTCTGAGGTCAGTAAAATGAGGACCCATATTGTTGGACAATATGCTGACTATGAATCGCTTAGAGAGTGTGATAAAGCACTGTGAAGCAGTATATAAGTCTAAATGCTATTGCTATATGCTTTTATTCAGAAAATTGCATCATAAGTTGGCATTTTTGGGCAAAGTTCAATAGCTCAAGAGGGAGGAGTTTACAAAAGACCCAGGGTTTCTATATCATTACTGGGCTCTCCACTAACCTTTGAAACAAAAGAAAAATGACTCTGAAATTGTATTTTTCCCATGTATGTTTAAGAGTCCTCAAATCTCTCATACAATCGATGCGTATGCTGCTATAATTAAATGCAAGGGGAATAAGACCAAAGAAGGGAGAGACATTTTAGATGAAATATGTATTGCAGCCAGTTGTATGCCAAACCCGTAAAATGAAAAAGGCATTTTACTTTCAATTTTGCCATTTGTGGTAATGGTCTGAGTCTGCATGCTTTCTTTTAAAATAACAAGAGAACAATAATATCTATCAGATTCCCTTTTGTGATGGTGGAAAAAGAAACCTGGAAAAATCAAAGCTGTTGTACAACAATAAAAATGTAAAGACTCGCTAATTGTTGAGGTCATTGATTTGCATTACAGATTCTTTTGCTAAGCTTTTTCTTCATTTTAACAATACTTTGATGCAGATAAGAAAAATCCATAAAGACGGATTTGCATGTTGGAATGATCTATTGTTTACAATCCAGGTTTTAATAACATTTTAGGTTGCAGAGGTGATGTGGTATGCACTGAAACATTAGCAAAAATCAGCTTTCTCTAACATAACTAAGTGCATGGAGAGGGAGACCTTAAAATGCAACGTAAGTTGAGGTGGTCCTCGATTTACGATCATTCACTTAGTGACTGTTTAAAGTGACAGCAGTACTGAAAAAAAGGGACTATGACCATTTTTCACAACAGCCATTGCAACATCCCCTTTTTGCGACCTTCTGACAAGCACAATCAATGGGGAAGCCAGATTCACTTAACGACCATGTTCCGAACTAAACAGTTGCAGTGATTCACTTAGCAACTGTGGCAAGAAAGGTCATGAAATGAGCCAAAGGTCCCTTAACCACTGCCTTGCTTAGCAATGGGATTTGGGGGCTTCAATTGCAGTCATAAGCCGACAACTGCCTGCTTATGTAAGCTTCCATTTGGCTGAGAGGTTAAAAAACAAACAAACTAGAAGGATGAAAAGGGAAGAGATAAAACAGCAGCTGCCTCCAGACGTACCTGCCAGATCTCTGCAACAATGAGAGTGAGGAGGGTGAACAAAGTATTTCCGACACCAAGGAAGAAAAACAATATGGAGAGAGAAGAGAGGAAGAACCATGAGCTTAGGCTATGAAAGAGCTGCAACTGCAAGTGAGGTTCCCCCCCCCCCAAACCCAATGACAAATGCTAGCTGTACCATTTAGTTTTAAACCATCTTAAATTGGGTGATAATTATCTCTAATACTGATTGTCTACCATGTTAGGACTAAACCCTGTTGCGTTGCATTTGTCTCTCGCTTTAATTTGATCTGTTGAGAAATGATGTCAATATCATTTTTAAACCATGCATGAATCCATCTCATAGATGTCCCAACCAGCCCATTCTTAACTAACTTGCTAACCAATATGTTTATGGGGAACTTTGTCATATTCTTTGCTGAAGTCAACTGTATTATGCCCACAGTGTTCCCATAATGTCCTAAGGAAGTTACTAAATAAAAATATAAAATACCATTAGTCTGGCAAGATGTGTTCTTGACAAATCTGTCCTGACTTCTATAGTCTTTCCCTCCCCCAGAGATTGATTGATTCTGTGATCTGTCTAGGATCCTTCCACTTATCAGTAGCAGAGTGGTTGGTCAGATAGTACTGTAGTTTCCAGCATCTGCTTGTTGCCCTTGTTTAAAAATGGGGTAGCATTTGTCCTTCAATCATCCGGCATTTCAATATTTCTCCAGGTTTTCTCAAAGGCTAAAAAAAAAAATAGATCACACTTTGTTTTTTTGGCAATTTCTTTCAGTAACCGAGAATGCAATCCATCTGGTTCTGGAAATTTGAACTCACTCAAGATCAAGATGTATTATTTCTCTGTGTATCTGTTTAGCGCAAGTGGGAATCCTGTTCCAGCCATTCATAATTGTCTGGTTAAGATGTCCCTTAGAAAAGGCTGAATCAAAACAGTAGTCTTTAAGTCACATAATAATCCTTAGTTAAAGTCTGAAACTTTTTTTAATGCATGTCAAAATAATGTGCTAGTGTTTGAAATATGTAATGTAAAGGTAAAGGTTCCCCTTACACTTATGTGCTAGTCGTTCCCAACTCTCAGGAGCGGTGCTCATCTCCGTTTCAAAGCCAGCGCTGTCCGAAGATGTCTCCATGGTTATGTGGCCGGCATAAGTAAACCAGAGGTGGGTTGCTTCCGGTTTTATTACCGGTTCACTTCGCACGCACTTTGCAGAACAATTTACAGTGAACTGCGCACACTCACGCACTACAAAACAACATGCCGGTAATGGCAGCAGGGACCAGGGAACCAGTTCAGGGGCGTGGTCAGCCTGGGTCGCTGCCAGTTCTGCGATCCAGGCCAAAAAAACACTACCGGTTTGGCCAAACTGGGAGCAACCCACCTCTGGACTAAACGCTGAAGATGCATGGAATGTATTACCTTCCCACCAAAGGTGGTTCCTATTTTTCTACTTGCATTTTTACATGCTTTCGAACTGCTAGGTTGTAGAAGCTGGGACACTCTGTTACGCGACAATAGGGATTCGAACCACCGACCTTTCTGATCGACAAGCTCAGTGTCTTAGCCACTGAGCCATGTCCCTTTTTGAAATATGTAATAGATAGCAAATAGCAACACAATAACAAATGTTGTCAATCTCAGGATGGACCCAATTAATGTATGCATGGGAAAGGATGAAAAAATCCCCAAATTATGGGTGAATCCAGGAAGCTGAAGACACATTTTTGTTGTTGTCACTAAGTCGTTTCTGACTGTTTGTGACTCCATGACCCATAGCACACCAGGCCCCCTTGTCCTCCATTGTGTCCTGGAATTTGTTCAAATTCATATTCATTGCATCAATAACACTATAGTGTTATCGACCAACTCATCCTCTCCTGTCTCTTTCTCCTTTTGCCTTCAAATGGATACTGTTGCCAGTGAAATATATGGGTTTGTCCTTAGAATCAACCTTCTTACTTTTATAGCAAGCTGGAGACTGATTACCAGCACATAAATTAAATATGATATGACATAAAGCTCGTGGATGTGAACCCTAAGGATAAATAATATATTGGAGGGGGAGGTCCAATATTTTGGCAAGGTAGCCCAAATTTAAGGTTGAAACTTAAGGTTCAGTTGAAGAAGAAACATGTTTGGAAGGAGACCGTATAAATAAAATAACTGTCTCACAAGAGTAGACTTAGGGTTTCGTGGTACATGTTAAGATTGGCTTCTACTGACATAAATGAAAGTAGGCATTTACATTTTTGATATGAAATGTAGAAGGTAGAAGTGTTCTGACCGAAGCTTTCTTAGAAAACAAGAAGCAAAGTCTTGGTCCCTGCAAAACCTCTTTTATTTACATGACTGTGAATGCCTTTCATTCATAGTCATCAAGGCTTAGCAAACAGTCTTTCAGAGGAATGTTTATCCCCACGCACCTTATCTCGTTTGGAGCTCTGCTAGATAACTAGTTTCCAAATGCAGGGCAAGGCAAACTTGGCACAGAGTCTCTTAAAGTCACACACAGAACTTTCCACTCTCAAACCGACAGAATGAACGAATTGTTTCCTGCAAAAGCCCACTCCCTGTTCGTTCCTCTTTTGTTTCCTATGGGAGGGGCCAATCACCTCCAAGATGTGGCTTTAGTCCTAAATTGACCCTGCTTTCTTAGTTGTTCTTGTCTTCTGGCAGCTCTGTGCTTGCGCACATTGGGAATAGGCTCCAGCTGTTCTGCCTCACTGCTGTCTAGCTCCCTCTCTGCCTCTGATGCAGACCTCTTGTCTGAGCTTTCCTCAACTCCCAGGACTGGGAGTTGTTCCTCCCCAACCTCCTCACTGTCTGACTCTGCTGCCAGCTCTGCTAGTTGCCAGGAGGCAACAACAAGAAGTGAGCCTTCTCTGTAGCCCTGTGGAAAAAGGATCCCCCACCCCAGCTGGAAGATCCAAATAATCCCCATTCTGCTTCCCTTTACCCAGGCCTTTGGAGAGGGAGAGAGAAAGATGTTTTACAT